ATCTTCTGTTCCACACAATTTCTACGTCAGGGGGTTTTCATTCCAGCAAATTGGCAGCCTCCACATGCATTAGACACGAAAGGGGGGTTCCAGTTGCATCCCTTGGTCACTGAGGGTGTGATCCTGTGGGCTCTCACGTCCTCTAGGGGTGGGTGGGTGTGAGAAGACATCTCATCGTAAATGTAGTTTACACTGAGACCGGTAGAATATTACAGTTGGCCCTTGGGCAGGCAGGTCAGAAGGATCAGGAGGATCCAAGGCAGCAGATTTATGTTCCTTCTCCCAAGGCCTGTTCATCCAGTTAGAATCCCCCCTGCATGTTGCCATTTGGCTCATCCAAAGCCAATGGGGCCGTGTGCAGAGTCACAGAGACCTTGCTCTGTGCAGCTACCTGTTCTCCATGTCTGGCTCTGAGAATCCCAGTCATCCCTGTACCTGCGGCTCTCACCTCTGTGTCCTCAGCTCAGTGACACCCTCATGATCCGTGGGGCTCCACCTTCTTCTGGGCCAAAAAGTGAGTCTAGAAATAAATCTGCAGCCACTGGTGGGCTCATTGTGAGTGCACATGTGTATACGTGTGTGTACGTGTTTGTGTGTGGACACGCATGTGTTGTATGCATACGTGTGCCTGTGTGTCTATACGGGTTTGTGCATGTGCTTGTGCAAATGTGCTTTTCTTCTCTGAGGTTGCAGCGTCCAGTTCTCATTGTCCACGTGCAACGTCAGGAAACAACTATTGCGGTACCTGGTCCTGTGCTGGAGTTGTGTGAGGAGTAAGGGCTGCACCTGTCAGTGCTCACTACATCCTGGACAGAATCAGAAGTTATGACAGGCTCCTGGGGTCACTGTCTGTGCCTATTTATCTCATTAGCATTTAGTAAGTTTTTCCCTCCGTGACACTTTCCTCACGCCCACAGGAATCAGCTCTGACTAATTTTTGTCGGGGTTCCTGAGCATCTCAGATGTGTTTTTCCACCAAGTTAGGGATATTTTTGGTTATCATTTTTCAAATACATTCTTCTGTCCCTTTCCCCTGCTGCTGTCCCTCTGAGACTTTCACTGTGAGTGTGTTCACACCTGTGATGGTGCCACACGGGCACCATTGTTTTTATTCTGAGACCCTTCAGCTTTTCAGGCAGAATAATATCAACTGATCTACCTCGTGTTGAGTTATTCTTTCTTCTTTATTTCTTTGTTAATATTCCATGTATGGTGAGACATTCTTATAAAATTTTTCTTAATTTTTGACTTTTTTTATTACATTTCGCATATTTATAATAGCTGATTTGAAGTCTTTGTCTACTAATTCCAATGTCTGTGATTATTTGGGGATAGTTTTCACCAACATTTCAGTGTTTATTTCTTTGTTTTATGTTTTGTTGTTGCTGTAGTGTTTCCTCTTTAGTAGTCTATAGGGACAATAATTCCTTGTTTCTTTAACTGACTCATAATTTCATTTTGAAAAATGGAGATTTTAAGTAATACGATGTGACAACTTTGGAAATCAGATCCATTCCCTGCTTATTTCTCTTGTTCTTCTTCTTCTTATTTTTTGTTGTAGTTGTCGTTGTTGTTGATGGTTTATTGTTTCATGGTTTTCTGGCCTAAGTCTGTCTTCTCTGCGTGTGTGGACACTGAAGTCTCAGTTTAAATACATTAATGGCTAATTATTGGACAGAGGTTCCCTTTGGTGCCTTGAAGAAATACATCTCTCAGCCTTCCCCAAAGGCTCTCTGCACGTGTTGGGGCACAACTTCAACACTCTGTCACTTTATAACTCTGCCTTGGCCTCCAGTTCATCTTGCAGGGACCTTCA